TGCCTGCGAAAATTACTTGGATATTATTTTTCTAAAAACATCGTGGAAATAAGGTAGGTTGATACAGAAACTATTTATCGCACGTGTACTGTATATGAGCTTCAAAATAAATAAATAAAAATAGATTTTATCAAACGATGAGATCAGCCGATTAATTGTATCGTGTACAATATTTTACACCCCCAAGGAAAATATTGTAGGTCTAGGGTAAAATAAATTTTGTTTTCCCACAGTTAAACTTCGCCGCTAATTGCTGTTGTGATAACTTTAATACGATCTTCTAACGACAGCACTTTGCATTCCGGACATTTTCCACCAAACTAAAATGAATATCCTTTGTTGCTAGACTAGTTTATTAACACCTGTACCTAATTTCAAGGGTGGGGGAAGTGCCCGAGATGAATTCGAACAAGAGTTTAGACTAATTCATTATATTAGGAGGTAGAAACGTTGTTGATATGGGTTCTTACAATAGTTTAGACCAGATACATTCGCGAAAGTGGTCGCTTATTGCAGGTGTTGATGTTGTTTCGGACCAAAAATCGATGCCCGCGGTTGTGTTACACAGGTGGTCGTGTAATACAGGTAACTTATACGAAGACTCTATGGATAAACTATTCCGTGCCAGAAAATTTTGCCCATTTTGGCAGGTGCCCGTCGAATGCAGGTGGTCGCCTAAGCAGTTTCACTGTATAATTCAATGACAGACACTAACACTATTCTATAGGTATTTATTTTTATTTTCTGCACAATGTTACATTTCTGTATGAAGAGTGAATTAGAAAATTAAGCCTCGTTTAAATACTGGTATCCTTTTCATGGTCGAGCCAGTGTTGCCAGCTAAAACACCAAAAATTTAACGAAAATAATATTAAAGTAGCCAAGACATAGCCAAATATTATAGCGCTGCATCACCAGCTGACATTTGAATTTGCTGACTAGAACACGGTCGGTTAACCAATGTGACATTGATCGGGGGTTGGATAATCGATGGACAATCGATGTATCTGCATCAATTTTCTCTAAATTAAAGCGAGTCATTCGCAGACAAGGCAATTCATTTTTTGAACTTAGACTTAGCGACTACGGCTTTTGTATTCAGTTTTAAGGCCCCTGTTTCCATTGTATCAAGAACTGCTGTATCAAAATTTAATAACTTTTGAATCACTTATTGGGAGAGAAAATTGGCAATTCCAACAGGATAATGCTGCCATTCATGCATCAAAGTCAATTAAAAATTGGTAGTAACGGTGTGAACTCAACAAATATCTAGTGTTGCCAGATCTAAAGTTACTAAAACGTAACAACTTTGATACTCGTTTAATACTTGTTTTAGTACTAAAAAGTACTAAAGAATTAAACGAGTATCGAACATGTTACGTTTCAGTAAAACTATCGTTCATTGCAAATAGAAATATTGAACAATCAAAACTTTAAGTAAAATAAAAAATATAAAAACATGGCCGATGGTAATACATTTAATTTCATTACACTTAATTGTATAAATAAAGTTGCAACGTTTAACAAAGATAAAGACACTTTGCTTCCGTTTTCCATCCGTCATTCGCTCCAGTAGACAATCCACAATTTCACATGCAAGGTTGCCTCCATGCTTGTGAAGTTGTGGATTGTCTACTGGAGCGAACGACGGATGGAAAATGGAAGCAAAGTATCTTTATCTTTGTTAAACGTTGCAACTTTATTTATACAACTAGCTGCAAGGACCCGCTTCACTAGGTTTTTATTTGTTTGTACATTTGTATGTAATATAGTTTTTTAATATATATAAAAGACTGTTTTTCTAAGTAATCTAGAATCTAGCTGCAAGGACCCGCTTCGCTGGGTTTTTATTTGTGGTCAAAAAGTAACGATAGTGAAGATTAAGATAATTACATTATAGCCAATCTTACCCGTTTTCACAAAATGCAAGAATTAGGTCTCTCATTTCCAGAGAATTTTTACATGAGTATAAAAATATGTTCGATTTCCCGCAAAAGTGCAAAAAACCGCCTGTAAATCTTGCATGCTGCTTTATATTAACACTTCCTGGTCCCGATTCTATTTCTGAACGTCTCCTGTTCACGTCCAGTCAAACGAACTATTTTCAACATTTCTGGAACGTTTACGATCGTTCTATAATCGAACCAATATTCGAATTTTATGTTCGAATTTAATTCGAACAAATTCAAACAAAACATTTGAAATAGAAAGCCACTTTCAACCACTTTCAAGCCCATATCTCCCGCACCCTTATAGCTATCGAGACGCAACCCCCCTGGTGCACGAATGGAGACTTGGGGCTACTACCACATACAAACACCATTCACGTGCAATGTGTAGTTTTGGTGGAAAAGTGAAATATAGGGACATACATGTCCATTTATATATATATATATATAGAATAGATATAGATATAGATTAAGTGTAATTAATTAGTTAATGAGTGAAATTAAATAAAACTTTATTAGTTTTGAAAATATAGTTCACTTCACACCAGCATTTAGAAATTAAAATTATGACACTTCTGTGTTGCGGCATTATTGACAGCGATTTGTTAAATTTCAGATATGCTCGCTAGTACTTTCGACAGTTTATAACTGTTGTCTTCAGGTGAAATCGAATACCTTTGTTTTCAAATTGACAGCTTTTAATGGACTTTTCAAATTACGTAATGCACGAGGTTGGAATATAGAACAAATTAATAAAATTGAATAAATAAATATTTTTAAAGAAACATGCTGTAATAACTTGAACTCCCCAAATCATATAAATATTGATTGATGGTGCCGTGCATGGTGGTTGGTTTTATATTACCTATAACCCCTCAACCGACACTACGAAGAACATTGTGCAATGATAGAGACATTCTCACCTTGAATGAAAAATCGGGGGATTATAAAATTCCATTAAAACATACAATATCAGGGGAGGAAATTATGTATATTGGAGCTACCACCAGAATGATACGGTCCTGTATCTTTGAACATCAAGAAGATATTAGAAACAATAGACCAGCTACAGAATTAGCGAAAAAGGTTCTAGACCAAGATTATCTTCCACTTTGGAACCACATTAAATTACTTAAGCATTGCAATGATCGTAGGCAAATATTTATATGGGAAAACCTTTACATATCTGCTGCTTTGTGGTGTAACGTGCCGACATTGGAAATACCACAGCTATGGATAACTTTATTTAAACAATCCAAGTTATAATTTTGTGTTCTAATTTTATTCAACCACCATGCACGGCACCATCAATCAATATTTATATGATTTGGGGAGTTCAAGTTATTACAGCATGTTTCTTTAAAAATATTTATTTATTCAATTTTATTAATTTGTTTTATATTCCAACCTCGTGCATTACGTAATTTGAAAAGTCCGTTAAAAGCTGTCAATTCGAAAACAAAGGTATTCGATTTCGCCTGAAGACTATGGTTGTAAACTGTTGAAAGTACAAGCAAGCATATCTGAAATTTAACAAATTACTGTCAATAACGCCGCAACACGGAAGTGTCATAATTTTAATTTATTAGTTTTGTATAATACAAGAAATGTGTTGCGATTTTATATATGAAAATAAAAGAAGTAGCCTATTTTTGAGATTTGTAGCCTAAAGATAATTATTACTAGCCCAAAAAGTAGCGTGTCGCCCAATTTGAAATTTTTGTAGTGAGGGCACTTAAAAAGTAGCCCAATCCACTACTTGTAGCCCAATCTGGCAACCCTGCTTGGAAGTCGGTCGGCTGTTGACCGTGTGACGTGTTTGTTGACCTCGGAACGAGAGTAGAGTTTGAAGTTCACCGGGTTAAGAGTGTCCGTTGAAGTTCTTGGTTCTTTGTTCTTTGTTCTGGAAAGTTTTTCGTTGGATGAAGTGATGGGGAAATCTAACGTGTTTGAAGATATATTGAACCAGATGCTGGGGAAATCACAGGTGAGTTGATCTCCTTTTCTGGGTTGATTAAGTACATCGGGACTTGGAGGAAGTTAATAGAGATAGGAACGATATTCCTAGACTGCTTAAAACGATGGCGGAGGCACGTGGCTCAGGTTTCGGTTTCGGCACTTGTGCTGATTGGGGGGTACGGCTATTTGAGAGGTTTTCTTCCATAAAATTAACCAAATCTAGAGTAATTTCACTCGAATATTTCCAAACACATGTATGATTTGTTGGAAATGATCGATATAAAATATGCTATGATCAAAAAATTGTCGGAATACTTATCGAGTGTACCCCGTTCGAAGACGCCATTGCTTAAGCGTGTCACGTGGCATTTGTCGGTGCTATTCGGTCACGTGACTACTCATATCTGACGTGTTCCTGATAACTTTACTCTTTTTGCGAAGAATTCGCTGAACTTTAGAGACATCACGTGACAGATCATAATACTGTATACTATACGATTTTTATTGTAATTAGAAACGACTTATTATTATTGACTATATGAAGCAACAAAGGAAAAACCGCTCGCTAAAGACAATAATTCTATCATGATAAATATTAATCAGATGCAACATAAGATGTCTAATGTCTTGATGTAAATAAATATTATACAATTTTGTTTACATGAGAGATTAGGCCATTTTAAAGTAGAGCAGGATTATTAGTTATTTATCGCATTATCATATGTTATTACAGTAGAGCCTTGATTATCCGACCCCCGATTAACCATCACCTTGGTTAACCGACCGTCCTAGTCGGCAAATTTCAAATGTCAAATAGTCCGCTAGTGATGTGGCGCCATATCACTAGCGGACTATTTGGCTATGTCTTGACTACTTTAATATTATTTTTACATGTTTTAGTTGGCAACACTGGATCGACCATGAAAGGGAGTCAGTATTTAAACGAGGCTTAATTTTCTAATTTTTAACGATACAATAGCGACGATTATTATTTTAAAAAATTTTTGTTAGGCTTAACATCGATGAAAATTTAACGCGAAGTAGGTTAATAGCGATATACTAATTACATGGGATATAATAATATGCTACACTAATAATGGATTTTTTCATACTTTTCGGTTATCCGACTTTTCAATTATCCGACCAACCCCAGTTCCCAATTGAGTCGGATAATTGAGGATTTACTGTATATGTTGATTTTAATCTATATTTAGAATGGAATGAAGTTTTGGTAATATTTCTATTAATAATGTGATTAAGTTCAACGAATTCTTCGCAAAAAGAATAAGTTATCAGGAAACACGTCAGAGATGAGTATTCATGTGACCGAATAGCACCGACAAATGTCACGTGACACGCTTCGTACGCGTCTGCTGTCTGATATGACGCTCTGCAACAAAAACAAGCTTAAGCAATGGCGTCTTCGAACAGGTACACTCGATAAGTATTCCGACAATTTTCTTATTTATAGCATATTTTATATCGATCATTTCCAACAAATTATACGTGTTTTGGAAATATTCAAGTGAAATTAGTGTAGAATCAATTAATTTTATGGAAGAAAACCTCTCAAACAGCCGTACCCTCAATCAGCACAAGTGCCCAGGTTTCTTCGGGTTGAGGTGTTGTAGTTGCACTGCTCTTAGGTTTTAAAAGTTAATAACAGTTAATCATTCCTTTAGGAAATCTTGTCACTACATTGAAATAGAGGTATATTAGGATACATAATTATTGAATAACTCACTCTCGGCGGTTTATTTCTACTCTCTCGACTACGGAAATATAAAAATTCTGTTTCTACCACAACCTGTAGACTACTAAACTATTATTCGATTATATTGAATCTAACTCTATGCATATGCAAAGAAAATATGCCCTTGAAAATCATAAACGAAAATGGAAAGTAGCAAAAATATATGTGGTGGCTGATAGACCGTTAATACAATTGAAGTAAAATACAAGAACGTGGATTCAAAAAATTTCAGCCTTGTTGGTTGATCGAGTTGAACTGACATTATGGAAGTCTAGCGATGTAGAATCCGACTTTATTTAAGTCCTTCTGTCAAGTTCCTTTAACCCTTTATTGCCTGAATTTTCATTTTTTGATAAAAATTTTTTATATTTCTAATTTTATCATCAGAAGAGGTGTTTATTAACAGATAAGTAAATAAAAAAAAATTAAAATGTAAATTAAAAAATTTTTAATTATGGGACTTATTAGTCCCGTCAGGCTTTAGAGCACATTTGGACTTAACAAGTTTTTTCTTGTTTAATATTTCAAAAATAAAATATTTTTGTTTTATATAAAGATCTTTTATCATAGAAATTTGCAAATTAAATGCATAATTATATATATTAAATATTTTACTGTATAATAAGGTCAAAATATTAAAAAAAAATTAAAATGCATGACAAAACTAAAATAAAATTTATTGGTTTAATAATTTATGATTAGTAAAGATGTAAAAAGCTATTTTTTCCCCATTTACACACAAGAAAACTTTACGTAATGTGCATTTTGTATATGGCTTTGATGTGTATCAACATCAAATGGAAATTTTTTTGATATAAAATTATCTATTTATATATATATAAGTCTTATATGTATATTAACTACAAAAATGTAAACAAATTCATAAATTTATAAAGCACAATGTAGAAAATACAAATTTCTAACATTTACAAAAAAAATTCCCTTATGCCTGATGGGACTCATAAGTCCCAAACATATTTTGATCTCATACAGCTTGCATACAATTAATTCTACAAACATAATACATTAAAATCAAACTACACATATCTAGAATACATATTAAAAAATACAAAGACATTTAACTTGAAAACAATAAGTAGAATTTGGCAACAAAGAAAGCAATATCAGCTACTACCATTCAAACAACACATGATGTGAAACTTTTTTCAACAAAACTAAAACAGGAACAGTTTGAAAGTTACTACCCTATAGAAGAGAAAAAGAACACTTTATACAATGATAAAATGTAAGTTCCAGAAAGCTATAATGCATACACTATGAAATAAAAAATATCAAAGATAGTGGGACTAGAAAGTCCTGTCAGGCAATAAAGGGTAAACCTGCTCACTGTCAGGATAGCTTGTTTTACGATAACGGTCCCTTTGGTTGGGACTCAAATGTCAGCGAGTGGAGAATTTTGGGGTCGACGATAAGGTGAAGGGCGTGATCGAGTAAAGGAGTCTACCATATTTAACCAATATAACAACAATTTATTAAACTAAGCAAAATGGACAAAAAGACTACACAAATAGTGTTTCTAAACCACCTGATATGCTCAAGAGAGAGTTTTCCCGCTTTTCATACCTCTTTGTATGTTCCATGACGAGTAAGTCTGTAGACGCACTTAATTGTCCAATAAAAGGTGGTTTTAATCCAAATGATGCACAAATTATAAAATGTTCGCGACTTTGGCGATGATCTGTTAGTGACGATCGTAGATCGGAATTCAGCAGGTTCGGAGAATCGGCGCAATGTTGTTGGTCTGGCGTTCGTTAAGAGACTCCCCGAGAAGGTGTAAGAACTGTCTTTTATAGCTTTTTGTGGGGAATTTCCACCACGTGATTGGATGTTCATGCATTAAAGGTTAGGTCCAGGGACCTAAAACAAGTGACGAAAGTTGGATGTTAACTATAAACTTTTCTGCAAGATGAGCTGCAAGTTCTGCAGAGAACAATAGATATTGATAGTTCTGATCGGAAAGTTTACACATTTCCAGCTAAGATCGTTTTTTCTTCTAAGGCATTACATAAGTGAAAGTTTAATTAATTAAAATTTTAGTTAATAAAAGAGCGTGATTTCGTTAATAAAAGTCCAGATCTCACATAAATAATAAGCATTTCTACGAATAAAAAATTATAACTTAATAAATGTCTCTTGAGGAAATTGCCAACATCAAAGATGTATATAAGTGCCCCAAATAATTTTAAAAATTTATCATCAAAATTAGCTTTTAATTTTCTTTATTATTTCCTTCTATATTATATTATTTAATAATATTTTTCATTAATGTTTCAATGGTATTTTTTATTTTTATTTTTGAACAGATGACACCTTTATGGAATATGTCCAAAAATGAAAGTAATGTTTTAGACAAATTTTATGTTTTATCTTTAAAAAGTCTAATTCCTCCAAGCAAATCGCAAATAAAAAGCAAAGAATTTACATGTCAGAATGAGAATATTTCTTCTAACAAATTTCCTACAGTTTCATCTAAAATTTTTGATACGGTAAGATTTCATATTGTTATTAGCAGTTAAGCCAAGCATTGCCAGGCAAAAAATAACAATAAACATTAAGTTTATTAGATTATTTTGTACTTCTAATGCTTATATTATATTATATTATAGTATTTGAACTACAAAGGTTATCTTATGCAAGGGTTTATCACACCAAGTATTCAATCTAATGCATTTAAAAAATTTTTTGAATTGTGTACAGTAGAGGAATAAAGAATTTTTAAAATATGTTAGATTAGTCACTCGGTGTGATAAACTCTTATGTAAGATAATCTTTGTTGTTATATAAACCAAATACCATAATATAACAAACATTGGAATGAAAACTATATGAAGAGTTTGGTCATTTTAGCCTACCATTGTTATGTATTGTGATATTTGGATGATATGAAATGGCACAATTTCATTGGTCAAGTAGACACTAATTGAAAATAAATCTTAAATTTTTTCATATACAGTAGACCCCCCTATAACGCTTAGATACGTTCCACGCTAATCGAATTTTACGTTGTAGGAATGATTAAATACATGAGCCAATCGCAGCCCGATAGGTGGGAACTTTACGGACTAAGGCTGTTCGAAAGGTTTTCTTCTATAAAATTAACCGATTCTAGACTAATTCCACTCAACATTTCCAAAACACGTATAATTTTTTGGGAGTAATCCGTATAAACTATGCTATAAACAAAAAATTATAGGATTACTTACCGAGTGTGTACTGTTCGACTACGCCGTTGCTTAAAGCTGATTTTCATCGCGGAACAGCACATTAAACGGCGGCCGCGATTTCTAATAACGAATTTTTCGCATAAAAATAACTTGACCTTTGGAGACATCATTAATATAAATCATTTTTATGGCCATTGAATAAGAAGTGTTTCTTTCACAAGAAATGTATAAAATTAGTGCTGTATTAGACTTACGGTACCTAATTTACATACTGTACAGACGATAATAAACTCAACTTACTAGCCTAAAATCTCCGTAGCGTGTTGCCAGGCGGCAGAAAACATATATATAATTATAATAAAGTTACAATAAATTAAGTTAATATATAATTATATGTACAGTACCTAATTTATATATAATACTAAACAGACGATAGCAAACTCAATTTAGCCGCTCCATAGTGTGGTGCAGGGTCGGAGGTAAGTAGTTCGGCTGCTCATCTACTATTGGTCCAGACTCTATCAATCTTGTCGCGAAACGACGTTATAGGAGGTACGTTATACGAAAGTTGCTACAATTTTTTCGCTACGTTATAGGAATTGTTGTTATAGGAACGTACGTTATAGGGGGGTCGACTGTATCATAATTATTTCTAATGTTAACTTTAAGAAACTATACCATTTACAGCTGAATATCAAATGGTAATCTGCCAACAAATAAAATTTTGTGAAAAATGAACCAAGTACAATATTTAAACTTGGCACTTTCAATAACCACTTAAGACATTTTGTGCAGGTTGGTAACCTTGTATTATGTAATTTTCCTATTCAAATGCCACCATAATGCTGGTCCAATAGAAAGAAGGGTCTGTTGTGGAACGGGGTTGAAGTAATTCGACAAAAGTAGTCATTGACTTCCTCCCAGAAGGGAGGATGGTCAATGACTACTAACTAATATTAGTCTATTATCAATATTTGAAAAGTGATCCATGTTGGATAAGTTGTGATGGTCACGCATGTGATTGAAGTTGATAACCTTAATGTACTTACAAAAGACTTCATATGACTTGTTTAAATAAAAAAATCTTATAAAAATGAAAGAATAATTGCTTTTATGTGACAATAAAATGTTTATAATTTTGTAACAGATTTTACAGACTGCATGGGAAGCATGTTTTAAATTTTTATAATTGTTTATAATTTTTAAATAAATTCTAATAATTTTTCTATAAACATTTATAGAAAAATTATTAGAATTGGTTTGGTTTATTTGGTTATGATAAGACAATATTTGAGTGATCTTCTGAGGGGATACATCCCAGGAAGACTTTTATGTGAAGTTGGTCCCTATTTAGGTGTTACTAACGTAAAGAATTCTTGGAAAACTCCACATGGCCACCCCATTGGCCATGCCGAAACCCACGACCGACTTCCAGTGTTCGATGGTTTTATGCACTCGGCTACTGGAGGGCACTTATTAGAATTAAGAAAGTATGATTCAGAAATGAAAAAACTGAGTTGTTAGATGTGGAAAATTAAATACTTATACTTAAGACTTTTAACATGATAACACTTTTGATTCCATGCAGGCAAGTGCTATGTGCTATCTATTGCAATGATGATATTGCACATCTAATTTGCACTATATCATTGTAGCAGTAATTAAGTGAATTTAATATATATTTTTTGAAATTATACCCATTTTAAGAATTATATTTAGTTTATTAGTTTCTTAAATTTTTTTGCCAATAGATGGCATTACATTAAACTTAGAAAATTGAATATAGACGGAAATTAATTGATATATAAAAATCAAATATATCAAATGTCATAAAAAAATCAAATGTCATAAATGATATTTATGACATTATCTAAGTTAGAAGTATGTTACATAAATGCCAAGTTTTGTGGCAATTGGTTGAATGGTCTAGATGTGCTTAGCAAACAAACAAACAAGCATCCTTATTTATATATATAGACTAGCTTACCCATCACATATAAGTGCCCCAAATAATTTTAAAAATTTATCATCAAAATTAGCTTTTAATTTTCTTTATTATTTCCTTCTATATTATATTATTTAATAATATTTTTCATTAATGTTTCAATGGTATTTTTTATTTTTATTTTTGAACAGATGACACCTTTATGGAATATGTCCAAAAATGAAAGTAATGTTTTAGACAAATTTTATGTTTTATCTTTAAAAAGTCTAATTCCTCCAAGCAAATCGCAAATAAAAAGCAAAGAATTTACATGTCAGAATGAGAATATTTCTTCTAACAAATTTCCTACAGTTTCATCTAAAATTTTTGATACGGTAAGATTTCATATTGTTATTAGCAGTTAAGCCAAGCATTGCCAGGCAAAAAATAACAATAAACATTAAGTTTATTAGATTATTTTGTACTTCTAATGCTTATATTATATTATATTATAGTATTTGAACTACAAAGGTTATCTTATGCAAGGGTTTATCACACCAAGTATTCAATCTAATGCATTTAAAAAATTTTTTGAATTGTGTACAGTAGAGGAATANGGTTGTTGTTCGGGGTACAGTTAAGGTTTTAACGAAGCTTGAGCGAATACATAATTAGCAAAAAAAAGTTGAAATAAAGTGATTAAACAAAAATTATTATAAATATCGTAAATAACAGTTCACAAATGCATATATAGAGATATTTTTTGAAGGGGGGAAATGGTCTTCACAATTTGAAATCGATCGAACACACTGTGCGCGAATGCTCGTGTAAACGCGCGCCATCTATCGTAGGATAAATGTACTTTGCGGGAGTGTATTAAAAAATTAAAAAAAACTTTCCAAAGTTTCATGGCAATCGAACTATGCCACAAACCTTCGCCGGAGTATATTAAACAACTTCCCAAAGTTTTACGGCAATCGGATAAACGGTGTGGTAATGCATGAAGGACACACAGACATACATTCATTTTTATATATATAGATAAAATAGCTATATTTTAAGAAAAACGTGTAACCATAATCTTTCTTTTGTCTATGATCAACATAATTTGATCCCTTTGAAAAAAAATGACCAATAACCATCCTCTTACCATATGATAATGCAAAACATACAGTTTTAAACTATTGCATATGCTGCAAATACAGTGGTGCCTTAACTTACGAGTTTAATTCGTTTCATGACAGAACTGTATAATAGTAGATATATTGGAATATATTGATTATGGGTGTATGAAAAAACAAGCGAATGAGGACTGTACAATGGCACTTGGAATGAAATCTGCTTTTAATAACATTTCATGATCAATTCCATTATCGGTCAGATTTACAAAAGTAGATAAATATTGTGAATACAAAGACCAACTTATTTCTAAATTCTAAACTAAAACGACTTAATTCTACATACAATCATTTACATGGTGGTACACACGTGCTGCTCTATTCCCCTTTGTTCCTAGTCTGGTCTCCTTGTGAGTCTCTGCTCGCTCGTCCGTTCGTCCTTGTAGCGCCAACCAACACGAAAAGAGAGAGTCCCTCCATACACGAGACAGTCTCTTTTTATACCCTTCTTCACGTGACCTTTGTTCTCCACCAATCAGTCTGCACCCCCTTACGCAGCAATAGGAGTAACCTGACATAGTCTTCCGCGTACAATTACACAAAGAAAACAAAAACATAGCTCTTGACACGTGGAGATTCATTTACACAAATTATAACAATATGGAAGAGTACATAAATAAAACCAAAGTAGCGTAGCACTACAGAACTTATAACTCAAATTACTTGTATGTCAAATCAATTTCTTCCCAAGAAATGAATTGAAACATCATTAATCTATTCCAGACCCCCAAAACACTGCAATTTTTTTTGTTACATGTTTTTAAATAAGAAAAATGTACGTATAAATAATGAATATTGTTTGAAAACACAATAGAATGTACTGCAATAAACTGGTTTTGCAGATGTTGTGGCATTTGCTGCATAGATAAAGAAAGTAAAGATGGAAAATTTGAGAAATGAGAGACACTGGCACTGCACACAACATAGAAGTGAATTAGTGCCAATGTCACTCGATCTTGTGTTTTTCTATAAGCTAGCCTGTCAAGAAGGAAAAGTAATGAAAATGGTGAAATTATGGCAGTTTTCCATCATCTTTTTCTTAATCTATGGTTTGCTGTTGCATTTACTGTGCCAACTAGCAATGGGGTATCTGATTCAAGTTACAAGCCAGCTTCATAGCTGGCTTGTAACTTGAATTTTAGCTTTCAGCTCAAAGCAAAAATTCAGCCAAGAGACAGCTCGTATCTTGAAAAACTCACAAGTTGCGACACTCGTAAGTCAAAGTAGCACTGTACGTCTAAAAGTAAAATACTGTAAACTATGTACCGTAAATACAAAACTGCTATTAAAAATAATAATTAAACTTTTTCATATTTCAGAATCATGAAACTAATCCAGATGTAGCTGCTGCTTTGAAGTTAGTTTCAGACTTTAAAACTTTAGTTGGTAACGAAGAAGGTAGTGATGTTAGAATTATTGTTGCAAAAAATAGAATAATTGCAGCTCACAGTATTATATTAAAAGTCAGATGTCCATCCATAATTAAGGTAATACAATACAATACAATTTAATTATTTTTTTGTACAAGATATTAATTTTATACGTTTGAATTTCTAAAACAGATCTTTTTCGTGAGATTAGAAGAACAAGATTTAAACAATAAATTAAAATTTTTGTTTTTTTTTTTTAAATTTAATATAAACACTGTTCTTATAAAATAGATTCCTACTCTCATGGTATAAATATGCCAAGATTGGTCAAAGTACAAGTCATAGAGATGGTCAATTTTAGAGAGTTAACTCTGCATATTTCTATGGGACAAATTCTGGACTTGTAAGAATGATTATTTTAGAGAGATGGAAACACTATAATGGTCATCTTATGAAGTTCCACTGTATTTAATAAACTGTAGATGTACAAGGTATGACAATTTAATTTTCAGAATGGCTGCGTAGTGTCGCCAGTGACATAATTATATCAAAATGACATGCACATTTCGACATATTTGAAGTAATACATGTGTAAATTTAAAGCCGATAGAACTAGTTTTTAATTAGCTGTTGGGAAGGTAATAGTTATCCGTATATACTCTTTTGCATAAAAATGGATGATCAAAATTTAGAGCAACGTATTAATGTTAAATTTTGTGTGAAAAAATCAGCAAATGTACTACGGAAACATTGTAGTATGACCTAGAAAGAAAATGTCAGAGCATGCAATAGAAATCCTCCTGAAAGGCACACATGTCACACTCACAGTTTAAGACCATGCTGGTGTGTTTATTTGATTGCAAGGGAATAGTCCACCAAGAATTAAGTGAACAGATAGAAACAGTTAATCAACAATGTTATTTAGAAGTATTGCAAAAATTATAAGATTCTGTTCAATGAAAAAGACCCAAACTATGCCCTGACAAGTGAATCATTTATCATAACAATGCGCCAAGTCACATTGCACTCACTGTGAGATTTCCTGGCCATAAAAGCAATTACCAATTAGATCATCTTGCCTGTTCACCTGACAGCTTCCTGTAATTTCTGGCTATTTCCAAAATTAAAAACTGTACTGAAAGGACAAAGATTTTCTAATATAACTGGTATCCAACAGAATATGAGACAGCTGCTCAACAGTATTCTGGAAAATGAGTTCCAGTCCTGCTTCCAGAAATTGGAATGTGTATAGCTGCAAGTCAGTGTATAGGTGCAAGAGTACTTTGAAGGTGACAGTAGCTACTAGTGTACAATTTCACATATATATTTTTTAAAGGTACATTCTAGGAATTAAATTGTCACACCTTGTATATATTCTTTATGCCATATGAATTTTTTTTCTATTTTAAGCTTTTTGTAAAAATGACAGTTTAATTAATTCATAAATCAAACCTGTATATAAAAATTTGTTGTGATTTTTATGAACTTTCATTAATTATTTGAATAGGATCTTCATTGCAACCAAAATCAGAAAAAATTTGAAGTAAATTGGAATGATGTTTCATATGAAACTGCATTAGCTTTCTTAGAAGTTATATATTCTGGAAGTTCAAATATTGATGGTATAAATACAACACAGTTAAAAGGATTAATAAACAGGTAAACTTAAAAATTTTTAAATTTATAATGAATGAAAGAAATTTATTTTAATATTTCATTTTAAATACATGCATAAATATATTTTATTGTGGAAATTTTGCATCTTAATGATGTTTTGTGTTGTGCATTGCATATTATTATATTTTTAATATCTGTTGTACCTCATTTTATACACTTTTTACGCACTATTTTATGATATTGTCAAGTAACATGTTAAGTCTTATAGATTTTTCATGCATATGTATCATTATTTTTCAGTTCAGTTATCACTGAGTAATAAACATTTTAAGCAGATTAAGTAAATAAGGTTACTTTTAGTGGAAATTCTGGTTTTGTTGACTCTGACATTAGAAGAATATGTTAAACAATTAAAATATACAGTTTGAAGATTTCTTGATTATATTTATTATAAATTAATGGTAATTTATCCAATGTAAACTTTAATTGAAGTAAGAAATACCAAGAATTCTGTTGTGAACAAATAGCAATTACATTGATTAATGTTTAACATTTAAAACACTAGTTAAGACTGATAATGATAACAAGTAAAGATTGTATTTTATCAGTTATGTGTTGAGGCAAATAGCATTAAAAGACAGCTTAAGTTTTGCTTATTTACCTAAGGAAAATGATAATGACCAAACTCTGATTACAATAAGCAAAACTATAAATATTTTTATTAATATACTTTAACTTACATCAATGATAATGAGCAAATTTTAATTATATCTATAAGAACAAACAATTTGATTGCTTATTTATAGACTTGTAGAAAATTTAAAAAGTTATCAGAAACAATCCAATCTAAAAATTTAAAATAGTATAAAAATTGCATATAAAAATAGTTAAAATTATTATTTTAAATTGTTATGATTTCTCTGTATATTTTATATTTATTAATAATTTTATATATAACATCAACTCAAATCCCAATTTAATTACAGCCTAATTATCAGGCTATTTTTAGGCTATGTTAATAATTAGTTACCAGTTAATTTGACTGGCAGTAGGCAGATATATTGCCATCTCTTATTAATTTTAATAATTGTGATAAATTAATTTTGTAATTTAGAAGTATCTGGGAGAAAAGAGGAATATATAAAGGTGTGTTTATAGCTAAATATTGCCTACTTATACTGGAAATATTTGGCATTGAAACCTATTTTTTCTAAATTAACATTTATTTATTCGATTTAAGATACCTTTTCATAGATTGCATCACATATACTTTAATTATTTCAACAGTATTATTTTTTAATATAAAATGGAAATGATTTTAATTTTTAGGTATCAAGTACAAAATCTATTTGAAAACTTTGACTTAGAAAGGCATTTAAATATAAACCAGTCAATGATTGACAATGAACGTCAATTGCAAAATATTTTAAATTCTATATGGAAAATTGACAATGATGATGATAAATTTAAAAATAATGAAATAGATGATAATGAAAGTCAAAATGATGAAATGGATGATGTGTATGAATATCTATCTCAAAAACAAGGTAAAAATTTAGATTTTATTATATTAAAAATAATTGTGAATAATAATCACAATTATAATCATTTCATTTAATCTTTTTAAGAGATTTTTATTTTATTGTTAAATAAAAATATTTAAAAATATAGTGTTTATTAGTTGTCATCTTATCACTAGTAACTCTATCAGAAAAAAAATTGTCTTTCATAAAATTAATGATTTATTTTTTTCACAAAATGTTTTTAGTCATACAGATTATATAAATTATATGATAATATAATTATTTATCTGTTTAGAACTGACAAATATTCTTTTCAATATTAATTAAATCATTTATAACAATAGCAAATTTTCATGTATTTTTTAGGTATTGAAGACAGAAATTTAAGTTTAGCAAGTGATTCCAAACCTAACTTTTTTGAAACATCTGCCACAAATCAAGAAGAAAGCCAGAAAGATAAAAAATGTCATCATTTTGGCTTGGAAAAACTTGAAAAGACAACAGAACATTCTCTTAATAAAACAATATTATTTGATAATTCAATGGATGAGTATAATGAGAATCTTGACATGGAAACAGAACATTCCCTTAATAAAACAATATTAATTGATAATTCAATGGAAAAGTGCAATGTTGACGTTTTAAGAACTGAGAATAATGAGATTCATATGATAAATGAAAATAAATCTGAAGATTTAAATTTTAGTTTAAAATTGTCACACAGTTCCAGGTAATTTATCAGTTCATATTTTATAATAATAATTTAAATATATTACCATAGGACCAATCACTGAATAACATTTTTTTGTTTTTACTATTTTTCAATAAATTTAAAATGTAGACATAAGTATTTGTATTAAGAATATTATCTAACATATAATTATTGTTATAAATATTTGAAGTTTCAATAATTATATCCATTATAGAAAACTGCAAGTCAAACAATATAACATTATTAATTATCATTCTGCACTGTTATTTTTTCCTATTAAAAAACAATCAAATACTTGTTTGGAAAGATTATTAAATTTTCAAGTTTTCCCTCCACTATTATAATCAGTAATACAAGCTAATTCAGAATAATTCATCATTTCAACTTATTAGTCATTTTCTGAAGAAAACAACAGAAAATTTTCAATAATTATATAAAAGTGATAGGAAACAATAATAGTATCCTCACCAGATAATAGTATACAATCATAATCCTCCCAGATAATAGTATACAATCATATTACTTTGTGCAATTTTATGAAAGAAAATTTGGAGTCCTTGATAATTATTTCAGGAATATTTATAAAACAAGCGATTATTTATTGTGAGATCGTCACAATGCCAAGCTGCAATTTTTAATTTATTTAATTTAAAATATATGCTCTCCATCTTCAAATTAGTAGTGGCTTGTCCTGTACAGCATACTCTTCCTTTAACAACAGAGTCATGCTGATCATCTATCAACTGCTTTCAGGGGAAAACTTTTGGATTGAAATAACATGACTTCCAGTGCAAACTGGAAGTTCATATATAATTAATTGGGGCCTCTTGCCCTTAAATTTTCCATATCTGGTCTCAAATTGATGATAAATAACTATAAATATATATAACAGTGGTGTGCCGTCCATGGAAGCTCTGCAAGCACCTCTTCCTTTGTATTTTCTAAAATATAAATACATATTGTGTGATTATTTTCATACTTTAACATACTTTGAATTACTTAAAATTAATATTTTATTATAACCACATTATGTATCTTATTACAAATTTCTATACTACATGTGAAAAAATGATAAGATTGCTATTGTATATTTGAATATAAATTCGTATATGCATATTCTCAATGGAAGTGCTATATTGTTGAATATGGGACAGCTTCCACAGCGAAAATATTTGAATTGTGTTAAGTAGCCAGGTTATACATATTTGCACATGTGCTTTACAGAGCACCAACCTCACATGGTTTAGCTCATGGATGCTACACACCAAAATATTGTATAACACTTCCAATGATTCTATCCAGGGTTGGCACAGCTTATTTATCATCAAATGTCACTGCATGCCACTGATAAATAAAACTCTACTAAAACTTTTGTATTGAAATACAATTCAACAATATAATTTTAAGGAAGAATTCATTTATGAAAATTTAAAGATCATATTTTTTCATTGGATTACTATAATGTTGCTTGCATTTTGATTAAAATACAGTGAATCCCATACAACTTGGGGATCCATTCCATGTTATATGAGCTACATGAGTTATGTATGAACTGTGTAGTGTAAAGATGAAGTAACCAAAATGTTGGAAACATATTTTATGAAAATTAACTTGTGTAATGCATTATACATTAATCCACTGAATTATTTGTAAATATCATTATGATTCTTTGGTTTTAAAATGATAATGAAATAATTTTAATGTAATTTTGATAAATAATTTTGCTGCTGTTCTTTTAATCATAAAGGTTTTTTTATTAATCAATTAGCTTTAAATATTTAAGTAAATTATGTCATAATGCTTACAAATAAATTTTTCTCTTTTAAAAAACTTGTTTTAACTTTGTATGTTTTAATTTGAATTAAATTTTCACCCGTAGTGATGCATCAGAAGAATTATTCACTGAAGATATCCATGATTTTCAAGATTCGGATAGGCAAAGCAAAATGAGATCTTATATTCAAAAGGATAAAGAATTATATCAAGATATTCTTGAGTATAAGGTAGATACTAACACTTTGTAAATTAAAACTTTTAATAATGATTAAAATTAACTAAATAAGATATAATAATTAATTTATATCCTGTGAAATGTGTGAATATATAATTGCTATTCATTAAATTATCATAAATTATCATTTTCATTATATATATTTGTAAATTGATATCATTCTTTATATTAGTTAATTAATATCAATAAATATAGTCCAACCTTTAACTTTCAACAAGCATATATTTAAGGCAAATGATTTTAATCATATGAATAGTTATACTTGAAAGATTACCTAAGATAAAATATAAAAATTTGTGAAAGAAAGTTTGAATAGAAAACAATGGACAACTAAATAAGAAATTTAAATAAAGCTGACTCTTATAATTAAAAAGCTTATTTCTTAGTTTCTTGATTATATAATTGATTACAGTTACCAGTTTTTCAAAACAGTTACATTAGATTATAATGTAATTGTTTTGTAATCTGACTCAAAAAAATCAAATAATTATATTGTTAATGTAATATTAGAATAACAAATAAAATATGAAATTAAAAGAAATAATTTGTTGGATTAATTTTATTTAAATTTATTTCTGTTGGAAAAAAGAGGCAAAAGTTTTTGTCCCTTTCAAGTTTGTGCCATGTTAATGATTATTTTCACAGATTATATAAATTCATTTTAATAAAAAAATTTTCTTATTCTAAATGTAACTAAATCATTAAAAATACAGTACAGTAAGTCTTCCAATGTGAATTATATATTTGAATAAATAAATACAAATAATTATTTACTAAAATAAAAATTTCAGTTTTATGCAGTTTGTTGCAATAGACTTATAACAAACAAAAAATTATTATAGTATTATTTCATGGTCTGGCTAATGTTTTAATAAACTAATATAATTTTGTGCATATAGATCTAGCGTGCACTTGCTTCCAAATTGATTTTAAAGCAGAAAACCTTCAAGTTACATACAGGAAATTTATATTTCTAATATTTTTCTTGTGTATATAGATGTTCCATAGTTTTCTCTTAACTTTTGATTAATTCAAATAGAATATTAAATTTCTACACTTCAAATTGAATAAATTCATTGTCTTATCAAATATATATTGTATGTAGACAAAGCAGTTCTTTTTCTGGTGTTGTTTTTCTAGAACTTTTTTCCCCATTAAAATAATACTTTAATTTTATTTTAGCCATTTCCAGTTTCAGAACTTCACAAAAAAATGAAATCTGCCGGAATTAAAATTTCTCTACAGTGCTTAATGGATTATCTTGATGAAGAGGTAAATATTTAATTATTATAAATTATAATGATCACTCTGAGTTTATTAATAAGTTCAAACACCATTATTCATTTTAAATTAGAAATTATTCAATGATTCTAAAATATTTTTGATTCTTTTAACTGGGTTTTTTAAAGTTATATATAATAAGCTACATGTTTTAGTGCTGAACAGTTTTTTTCTAGTTGTCATCATCTCTGTAAAAATTTTAGAGAGATAAAAGATTTAAGAAGTGTATGATAGTAAAGTAGTATCATAATTAACATTAATTCTGAATAAGGAATTAAGTAAAAATAATTTGTGTGTTTTGAAATAAAATAAACTTTTAATGATGGAAATGTTAGAGGTATGTGATGCCTTTTCTCTATCTAATTTTTTTGATCTAATGTATAAACCATTGTGAAGATTCTATATTAAAAAATTCATGGATAATGTCTATAAATTAGTACAGCATAGACTCATAATTTTTCAAAGGTGGAGAATTTATCCCAATCATTGCCAACAAGTCTGCGTAAATTCATTAGCGGCGATAGGGGGCAGGAGAAAGTTACATTGCCTGAATATATGACAAATGCATATAGAAAGGGGTCTGAGGTATGGTAACGGTGGTTGAACTATTGACACCTCTCTCTTTTTATGCAGGGTTGTGCTTGGAAATAGAAATTTCCTCACTTGCTATCTGCTACCCACTGTTGAACATGCATTATGTCTATAAACTAGACCAAAAACATTACATCCAAAATATAAAAACTAAGCAATGAGATTGAGTACTACTTAGTCTTCCAGCAAAAAACATGTGGCAAATAAAAGTCAAATTATAATACAAAATAAAATTTAATTTTGAAAATTATAATTAAGATTTTAAAGTTATAAAGTTGTTTGAATTATAAAATAAATCTACATTTTTCTTTATTTACAGTGTATTATTTATACCCTTCCTAAAGGAAGAAATGTGAAAGAAAAGCAATTGCAAAGAAGTAAAAGATATAAAAGTAGGGTTAAAGGAAGACTTGCTAAACGAAAATCCAAATGAAATCTAGTGTATATAATATGTAAATGTGTCAACTTTAATTGAATTTTTAAGTTTTAAAGGTAATACAGTGGAACCTTGCTTAACGAGCATAATTCGTTCCAGAATGTTACTCATAAAGTGACACACTCATTAAGAGAAACAATTTTTCCCATATAAACTAATGTACAATACAATAATGCATTCTATGCCACAAAAAATATTCAAATATCTTATGTATAATGTTTGTTCAAAGAAAATTATACAATATACATTTATATTATTTTTATACATACGTTATATCATTAATTAAGATTCTGCTGTTTACCATTGTTTTCAGTCTTTCGATAATGATTGTAAAATAAATTTAATGTCAAATTTAAAAACTTTTTTTATAAATATTAATGAATTTATTATTAAAAAATCCTTAGAGCTGTACAGTTTTAATGATTATAAATATTTCAGAAATTCTAAATATAATATAATATGTGCCTTAATTTTGTTTGTATTTTTTATTCCATTTTTACTTCCCATTTGTCTTTTTCCTTCCAAAGATCTTCCAGACTAATTCTGTGAGATCCTCATTCCTGGTGACACATTCAATGAACAGATAGAAAATGATAAAATGCTAAATATTAAGGAATTTTTTATATGGAAATTTATTTATGATTATTAGACAAAATGTAATTTACAATCATCTTTTATATGAAAAATTATGAAAAATGATAATTTGTAAATAAATTTTTACTTTTAAATAAGTCTTTGAGTCATAATTCAGGTGTTAATTAAAATTTTCTTATTTCCTTATATGAAAAACAAGATTAAGTAAGATAAATTTTCTTGGAAATTTATGTAACAATATAACAACAGAATAAAATATAATATGAAATAAAGGTTTAAATAATTTGGAACATTTTTATACATAATTTCTTTTGAATAATATTTCTTTAAATGTAACCTTGATAGTCTAATAACACTATTTTAACGAATCTTGTGATGAAGTACTTAAAACATGAGGATAAAATTAAAAATATGATTTCTGTACTTATTAACAGAGAATATTTCTAATGGGCAAGCAGCTAAATATATAATACCAAACACATTTAGTTGGGTAGTTGCTGACATGCTATTGTCAGCAGTGTCAGAGAAGATTTGCAATAATTTTTTGATATGTCAAGGACTGATAACATATCGTATATTCATATATTACACCAAGGAAAATGGAAAGGGATAAATGTCGTTGACAGAATACAATCCCCTGAAGTGGACATTCACATCTCTGTAAAAGACCTTTTCTGAAATTCTCTAGATTTTCAAGAAAATGATCAATACGGAATGGCTTCAAATTAAGTGATTATCGTGTATAATGCGCACCCACGGTTTTAGCCCAAACTTTTGGGAGAAATCTTTCCTTTAAACTTCTAAATTCAAATCTTTGTTTATATTTAGGTACTTGTTTTTATTATTATTATTATTATTATTATTATTATAAAGGAATTTTAGCATTTATTTTTTAACATACGATAGGAGAAATTTTATATAGGCCTAACAAGTAATTACAAAACAAGAATAGATCTTGTCTAATTATAATATAATTAAAGTGGAAATATTTTGTTCAGACCAACAATGATCGAATACCGTATCTGATATTTCTACATTGTTCTTTGAATAATCAACAAGAGAAGTTAAATTTATCTCGATTGTCGTTTTTATATTTAATAATTATACAGAAATACGAAGATAAAACGGCAAAAGAAAGTTATTGAATTTGTAACAAGCATTTATTTAAGTATAAATGCTTGTTACAATTTACAATTTCGGCATGTTATTTTCAGTAAACAGAAATTGAAAATGTATATCATTTTAAAATAAAAAGATAGTTTTAAAATATCTTTGAAGTGTTTTAACATTATCGCTACAATTAAAAATAGAAGCAAAGTACAGTCGTATTATAATCAAGAATGTAATCAGTTTTGTGACGTTCACGGAACCGATCGATCTTAAGAAAATACGTACGAAAAGTATTGTTTATTCTGATCAGAAATTCGATTTTATCATCATTTTTCTTTCGATCTTTATATATGTAGCTTATAAAATAACGCTAAAAGTGCTAACTAATAGGAATAATAATAATTGTTGACATTTACATACTAATATTTTTTACGTAAATAGGATTTCGGGACGTCGGCCATAATTAATAAACGAAAAAGGAAAGCCGAAGAAAAATTTCGTTAATATTCAGATCGGATATGACAAATTTTCAAAATATGACTTTTATACATTAATAAAATCGAAATTAAATCCATCAAAGTCACTTTTGTTTACTCTCGCTTCCGGAACTATGCTACAGTGGCATCGGTTTTTTACTTTCTTGGTTGTTATATATAACAGAGGGAAAGTACGGCGATCGGTCAAAAAATGACCCCCCAAGATTTTTACAGTTTTGGTGAAAAAATGCAAAAAAATTCGAAGGTAATTTATAGAAGTTTGTGTGGGGGCACGATTGTGTTCACCCTCTTTGAAGCAATAACTCCCGTACTTTTTGTCAAAAATCTCTGAAATTTTGCAGTTAGATTTCTTTATTAGGGAGATTGATGTCATTAAATTTTGGTGGTTAAAGGTCGAAGGGGTGGGGAGATAATGGGGTTCGTATGTATCTCCAGTAGGGTCGGACTTAATGATGATTTTACTCGTTATTCACATTTACAATTTTTTATAAAGCCCATTTCTACCCTCAAAATTAAGCTTTTTGTTATTTTATAATAGTTAAAAATACAAAAGTTTTTTAATAAAATATGATAACAGATAATGCCACCAAAATATTAAAAGTAGCCGGGAAAGTTGAGCAACTCGTTTCTAGGTTTTTTTTTTAAATAAGCTACTTAATTCAGTTTAAAAGACACGTAAAAACATCCAATCATGAACATTTTATCCAATTAAAAAGCTCTGTTCTGAATTATTAACACATTATTTCAACTATGTACTGTATTTCAATATCAAAATTAATAAGTCTGTTAAACAAAAATATTCTGTAATGAAATAGGCCCTTTCCTGGCATTTGTAACAGATAATACAATTTGGATTACTGTATTTATTTTATATAGATTAAGATATAAGAAAATTTAAATTTATTTCAACAAATTATTTGTCTAATATCTTCTACGGTTTAGCACGAATGTGAAGTGCTCGAGGTAATACGTACAGAAGAGAGCAGCCATGAGAAATCTATGGCATTGGCAACGTGATTTTATTTTAATGTTTTCATCCTCTTCATGTTATGCAACCCTAATTAAGTTGAGATTAGTGAAGAAGAACAACCAAACTAGTAAAAAGATGAAAATAAACCAGTGAATATCCAGGATTTTGAGATTAAGGATGCTACTCAAGGCAGATGATTCAAGAGCACCAAGTCGTTTTTAGGAGAATGTTATTCAGTCTTCATTTTGAGGGTGATGAATTTTATTTTTTTTTAATTGTAAATGCTAACAATAAGTAAAATATTCACTAAGTCCGACCCCACTGGAAATACGACACGTAAACCCCATTATCTTCAAAATCATCTGTGACGTAAATTAAAAATGAAACAAGGAGCAGACAAATAAATTTAAGATTATAACAGTGACATTGAATCGTTAACTAATCATATCTTGCATTATTTATTTTAATTTAGGACTGTATACGTCTTGAATAATTTAGATTAGTTTGACATTTATACCGATATAATGTTATAAAACTTAAAATAGAAATTTTGTAACAATGATGCAATTTTATATAATTACTTTCACTCTTAAACAAATATCAAAATAATTATAATTAATTATAATTCTATGGACTATTGTTAAATCTAAGCAGCCTTTTAACACATTTACTATTATAATATATAATGTAGTCTATATATGTATATTGTGTATGGTAGTCAATACAGCACAAAAATGAGCAGCAAAAGGTTAATAAAAGTATTATAAATGTATATGAACTCGAAATTCTGGAATATCTTGTTTAAAATGTGTTTGTTTTCAATTATAACTATATGTATTTACATGAAATTTTCCTCATATCAAGTTATGAAGTTTCTTAGTCTTATATACCGTATATACATAAACACAATTTGCATGTATAAACACAGAAACGGGATAGAAAATTCAGTTTAAAGTTGGAAATCAGAACGATTGTATTTATGTCTAAATCACTTCAGTAAATATTACACTTTTTCTATGGGGACGTCTCGCTAATCTCCATTTATTTTCAAGTGAAGATTAGAAAAGATAATACATTCTCTTATCTTTCAGTTCTCTTATCTGCTATCGGAGTGGGGTAAAACTATTGCAGAGATCTGGAAAGTCGTTAAATTTGACAGACTTGTTGTTCAAATATTTAATAAACAATTAAGAAAATAGTTTACGAAATACGAAGTAATTTCTCAAAGAAAATTATTTCAAAATACAAAATTAAATTATTAGATGTGTGTGTCCGCAGAAAATTTTTCTTGGAGGAGGCAAAGCTTTGAGACAAATAATTACGTCAATAAATTTTGCCACTAATTCAAATCTGGCAATGAACGATTAATATTAATTTTATATTGATAAGATTAAGATTCAGTGCTTGGGCCTAGTTAACAAGGAGGTCAATTTCCTAAGATTTATCTAATAAATGTTAAGGGAGCTATTATGGGCAATATTTCTCGAACCAACAGTACGATTTTCCTGAAAATTTCTGCAAATATTTATCCCTAATACACAAATCTCAATGGAAAATTTCAGAAATTTTCGTTTAAAGGTAGAGGAGTTATTAAGGTTTCAATAGGGTAAACAAAATTGTGCCCCCTTTCACATTCACATGAAAGTAAAAATGACACAAGTGTATATTCAATTTAATATTTACAAGTTATTTTAGTTATGTAATTATGAAGCAATATTTAACATATTTATTTTAATGTAATCGGTTTTTAAGTAAACAAATATATTAAACAATTCCTTCAATTGCGTAAATAAATTTGATCTTGACTTCATCAGAAAGTTCGTATTGTCGCTCGAAAATCGTGATTAAAACAATTTTTGCGTCATATTTTCCTTCTGTATACATCACACGACCAGGATATAAGATAAGGGGTTAGGTGTGTTTCAATTTCTGAAAGATAATACGTGAAATATTGTTAAATGACATTAGCGATGCAAATTCTGGATGTTACCGTTGGCAATAGTTTTCTTATCAATACTTATCATAACAGCTAAGAAATTATTTACCATCCGTCATAAAAAGGATTTAGATAAATTAAAGGGGTGAAATTCACCCGTTTCCAAGAAATATATCTCGCAGCCTAATATAAATACTCAGTACAGCGCGACCTGAAAATACAATCAAAATGATGCTGAACATTCTAGCTGCAATTTCATTACTAACTCTTAATTTTTGTCTAGTCGCTTCACAGTGGGACGATTACTGTGATGAAGATCGATGTAAATTGCCCATGTGTTTGTGTGGTAAACAATCTCCCCCCTCTGGAATGGAAGCCAAAGATGTCCCTCAATTCGTAATGCTAACCTTCGATTCTGCTGTAAATTTTAACAACTTTATCTTCTATAGAGAGCTGATATTAAGAAGTGGTAGGAAAAATAAAAAAAGTGGATGCCCCATCACCGCTACTTTCTTCGTTTCGCATGAATATACCGATTATACCCTTCTGAATCGTTTGTTTAGCAGAGGAAACGAAATTGCCGTGCATTCTATAAGGTAAGTTTTCATAGATTTTATTATAATGAACACTTCTTTTCTTCGATCTGATTCATATTTTCATTATTAGCCATTCGCCGATCGTAGACAAATGGAAAAATATGAGTTACACGCAATGGAAAGATGAAATTTCGGGTATGAGAACCATTATCTCGAAATTCGGACTCATACCAGAAACTAAGATTAGTGGTGTACGGGCTCCTTTCTTGCAAACGGGAGGCGATACTTACTTCGATATGTTGTCAAATGAAAAATTTTTGTACGATTCTTCCACTCCTACCTTGCGTAGAGCTGATCCTCCTTTATGGCCTTACACACTGGACTGGGGTCTACAGCAAGAATGCCAAATCGAACCGTGTCCCAGAAAATCGCACCCAGGCATATGGATGGTGCCGGTAGTCAATTGGTTTGGACTTCCTCAGGTAGATAAAGTAACGGGGAATGTATTCGAACAACCTTGCGCCATGGTAGACGGATGTACCCCACATCCAACTACAGTAGAGGAAACTGTTAGTTACTTAAAGAAGAACTTCGACAGGCACTACCATTCCGAGAGCAGAGCACCTTTTCCCATTTTTCTAAGAGAGGGTTGGTTGCAAAATAGAAACAGGAAAGAGGGTTTTCTAAAATTTGTCGACGAACTACTGCAAATGGATGATGTTTACTTTGTCACGGTCCGAGACGTAATTGATTATTTACGCGCTCCCAAAAATCTAACTGAGTACAACCAAACGTGTTTTAAAATGTCCAGCAAATGCCCCGCTCGCAGCTGTAGTTATAGAATGAAAGACACCGGAGCAGAAAGAATAATGAAATCTTGTGTTCGATGTCCCTCTTCCTATCCGTGGGTCGGTAATCCTACTGGAGAAAAAACCAACCCTTAAGCTAAACGCCATCAAAAACTGTTTGTTATTTCTAATGTTTTATTAAATATGTCTTCAATTTTATATATTTATATTGTCTTTTGCATTTAATCTCATACAATTCACCGGGGGTGTCCGCGGAAAAGTTTCAAGAGAGGCGAGGCTTAGAGACAAATAATTACATCAATAAATTATTTTATTATTTAATTTTTGTGGTATTTTTCACAAGTAGATTATAGAATACAGTCATGATGGGGAATGTAAAGTTACCATTCTTAAAATTGCGTATTTCTAAAAATATATACTTATTACACTGTATTAAAAGTTATATCTCAGCATACGGCATCATAATCAAATTTATCGCTTAAAAATAATAAAATATACAGAAATATTTAAAATAATCGCGTAATTATATCAATAAACTTCACTTCAAAATTTTAATTCGTGATTACATATAAGATTTTATTTACATTATATTTTAATATTGTCGAAATATTAAGTTAAACAATCTATTTTTCTGTGGTTTTGTTAAGTATAGTACACGAAACAAATAATTAGAGGAGTGTTACAAACAACACTGGTCTAGTAAACAACTTTTAGACGAGCTTTTAGCTTATCTTAAGATAAAAGGAAATGATTTCAACTTCGTCTAAAGTAAAGTTGTAAAAACAATCTAAATCTGCCAAGATTTTGCTTAGTCACAGATTAATTTCATAATCTTTTGTAGTATATAAGACTGCAGCAAGTTTCTAGGAGAGTATTCGAGAAGGACAAGAGCAAGAAGCAAATCCGAAAGAAGCAATGAACTGTTTTCAAGTTATAGCAATCTTCTGTTTAGTGATCGCAGTCAGGTATGTGTTTGATTTTTTTTATGTATATAAATATATATTTTCTTACTTTCTAACTTAATTTTCAGATCAGAAAATGAATGCAAATGTTACGGCACGGTTTTAGATGGTTCCCATAACACCACCATTCTTACTATGTCCTATCCAAATACCTTAGGATGCGATGAAGCATCAGAAATCGCGTGCAAAGAAAAATGCGCTACCAGAGTAATTATAATTTCATATAATTTCAAATAAGCTTTATTATAAAAGTTTTATAATTTATCTTTTTTTTCTCTAAGTTTACGGCTGCCACCAATGAAGGAGATTTAAGTGCAAGACCACCCCAATTGGGAGGCATGACTCTTGGAGCTTTCGTTTGTGTTAAAGTAAGCGACGTCTCTAATGCTATGTTGACCGTCTATGCTCAAGTATGCCAAAGTGACTACATAGACACAGGAATCAAAGGAAAGGAATTAATTTGCTGCACCAACAAACAAAAACACAACTGCTAATTTCGTTAATTAATAGTTTAAGATTTAATTACAAGTAGTAATGTAATTAGACAGAGATTTGAATATTAATAAAAAGGTTTAAGTCGAATTGTTTTATATTATTATTTACAATTTACACAGTAGATCAACGCTTTATGACTAATGGATCTAAAAAAATGGCCAAACTTAGGTTAATCTTTTGAAATTGTTTATATATTGACATATAAATTAGCTATATCGTATTAGAAAAACGATTTAAAAATTTATTCTATTATTGAGGGTTAAAACAGGAGAAATCCAGGAGTGTCCAGGAAAACCGGGACGTATGGCCACTCTAATAATGCAATATTTAACTTCTATGTTGATCATTTCAGTTCAGTGAATTTTATATTAAATTTAACATAATGGTTTATATATTACGAATAAAATTGTATATACTGATATTGTAAAATCAGCTTAATACTGAATTATAATAATAATAATAATAAATTTTATTATACTTATTTTGTAAGATATTCAAGTTAATTCAGTTAGACTGCCACTGGGAAATTTTTTTCGGGGATGTGGTCCCTATTTAGAAGAAAACCGGGAAAACATCGGATCGCCGAGCCCCTGTACTGTACATCATACTTTTCCCGTTAGTAATAGAGCCGTGTCGGTCATCTTTCTCAAGATTAAAAAAGGACATATAATCATACAGACAAACAGATGGACTGACGACAATGGGACTTTTATAAACTATAGGAAAGTTTAAAACATCCTAAAACTGTTTGAGATGCGAAGTATTTCTTGACAAGCAACTAAATTAATCACGCATTTTGCTTTTCATGTCTTTTTCAATAGCTTTATAGAGTTTCTATTTTGTTTAATAGTAGCGTGTTAATGAAAAATGTCCTGTTATAATATTTCGGAATAGACGATACTTAAATTAAAAATGCCGTGTGTGTTATGCGAAAAATTATATATATATACAAATTTTGAGTCTACGTTGCTATAAAGGACATTATATAAGATTTTAGTAGTAAGGTATAACGAATAGAGTAAGGTTTGAATGAAGTAGTGGGAAATGAAGTGATATTTGCTTAATGTTTGCATAATTTGGTCACGAAAATAAAAAATAAATAAATATATTTGTGTATAATAAAAGAATCAATTTAGTTTTTTATTGCTGTTATCATTGTTACGAAATACATTGTCGTTTGCATTGTTGAAGGTTAAATGATGATTTTTACAATAAAAATGGGGATTTTAGGAGGGTTGAAAAGGAATTACACTGTTGTCGACCAAAAAAATTGGTTGCGAAGTGCAAGAAGCGTGAGTTTGTGTGTAACAAAAAAAAAATAAAACGACGCGCGTGCCAAAGAATAGAACATAGCCAAAGAATAGAACATCGTTCATATTTATATTATTTCTATTTTTGGTTTATTTGTGGGTCGAGAGGGTTCTTCCAACGGGACAGTGAACCCCAGGGCCGCCGATAAAGCGAAAATCCCAAAGGGGGCCCGGAGGGCGGCTCAAGAACGGGATAAGCCCCGGAGAGCGGCCCAGATACAAAAGGGGCCTGCACGGCGGAACCGGAATCCGTATCTTAATCCATATGTAATCGACCAACTGCGGGTTGCGGGTTCAGCGCAGGGCGCCCAACGAGCAGGCAGTTGTCCCGGGAAATCCCCGCCGAGCAAAGAGGCTCTAATGCCTGTTACATTATAGATCATTTTAATTCGTGATTACATATAAGATTTTATTTACATTATATTTTAATATTGTCGAAATATTAAGTTAAACAATCTATTTTTCTGTGGTTTTGTTAAGTATAGTACACGAAACAAATAATTAGAGGAGTGTTACAAACAACACTGGTCTAGTAAACAACTTTTAGACGAGCTTTTAGCTTATCTTAAGATAAAAGGAAATGATTTCAACTTCGTCTAAAGTAAAGTTGTAAAAACAATCTAAATCTGCCAAGATTTTGCTTAGTCACAGATTAATTTCATAATCTTTTGTAGTATANGTAAACAACTTTTAGACGAGCTTTTAGCTTATCTTAAGATAAAAGGAAATGATTTCAACTTCGTCTAAAGTAAAGTTGTAAAAACAATCTAAATCTGCCAAGATTTTGCTTAGTCACAGATTAATTTCATAATCTTTTGTAGTATATAAGACTGCAGCAAGTTTCTAGGAGAGTATTCGAGAAGGACAAGAGCAAGAAGCAAATCCGAAAGAAGCAATGAACTGTTTTCAAGTTATAGCAATCTTCTGTTTAGTGATCGCAGTCAGGTATGTGTTTGATTTTTTTTATGTATATAAATATATATTTTCTTACTTTCTAACTTAATTTTCAGATCAGAAAATGAATGCAAATGTTACGGCACGGTTTTAGATGGTTCCCATAACACCACCATTCTTACTATGTCCTATCCAAATACCTTAGGATGCGATGAAGCATCAGAAATCGCGTGCAAAGAAAAATGCGCTACCAGAGTAATTATAATTTCATATAATTTCAAATAAGCTTTATTATAAAAGTTTTATAATTTATCTTTTTTTTCTCTAAGTTTACGGCTGCCACCAATGAAGGAGATTTAAGTGCAAGACCACCCCAATTGGGAGGCATGACTCTTGGAGCTTTCGTTTGTGTTAAAGTAAGCGACGTCTCTAATGCTATGTTGACCGTCTATGCTCAAGTATGCCAAAGTGACTACATAGACACAGGAATCAAAGGAAAGGAATTAATTTGCTGCACCAACAAACAAAAACACAACTGCTAATTTCGTTAATTAATAGTTTAAGATTTAATTACAAGTAGTAATGTAATTAGACAGAGATTTGAATATTAATAAAAAGGTTTAAGTCGAATTGTTTTATATTATTATTTACAATTTACACAGTAGATCAACGCTTTATGACTAATGGATCTAAAAAAATGGCCAAACTTAGGTTAATCTTTTGAAATTGTTTATATATTGACATATAAATTAGCTATATCGTATTAGAAAAACGATTTAAAAATTTATTCTATTATTGAGGGTTAAAACAGGAGAAATCCAGGAGTGTCCAGGAAAACCGGGACGTATGGCCACTCTAATAATGCAATATTTAACTTCTATGTTGATCATTTCAGTTCAGTGAATTTTATATTAAATTTAACATAATGGTTTATATATTACGAATAAAATTGTATATACTGATATTGTAAAATCAGCTTAATACTGAATTATAATAATAATAATAATAAATTTTATTATACTTATTTTGTAAGATATTCAAGTTAATTCAGTTAGACTGCCACTGGGAAATTTTTTTCGGGGATGTGGTCCCTATTTAGAAGAAAACCGGGAAAACATCGGATCGCCGAGCCCCTGTACTGTACATCATACTTTTCCCGTTAGTAATAGAGCCGTGTCGGTCATCTTTCTCAAGATTAAAAAAGGACATATAATCATACAGACAAACAGATGGACTGACGACAATGGGACTTTTATAAACTATAGGAAAGTTTAAAACATCCTAAAACTGTTTGAGATGCGAAGTATTTCTTGACAAGCAACTAAATTAATCACGCATTTTGCTTTTCATGTCTTTTTCAATAGCTTTATAGAGTTTCTATTTTGTTTAATAGTAGCGTGTTAATGAAAAATGTCCTGTTATAATATTTCGGAATAGACGATACTTAAATTAAAAATGCCGTGTGTGTTATGCGAAAAATTATATATATATACAAATTTTGAGTCTACGTTGCTATAAAGGACATTATATAAGATTTTAGTAGTAAGGTATAACGAATAGAGTAAGGTTTGAATGAAGTAGTGGGAAATGAAGTGATATTTGCTTAATGTTTGCATAATTTGGTCACGAAAATAAAAAATAAATAAATATATTTGTGTATAATAAAAGAATCAATTTAGTTTTTTATTGCTGTTATCATTGTTACGAAATACATTGTCGTTTGCATTGTTGAAGGTTAAATGATGATTTTTACAATAAAAATGGGGATTTTAGGAGGGTTGGAAAGGAATTATACTGTTGTCGACCAAAAAAATTGGTTGCGAAGTGCAAGAAGCGTGAGTTTGTGTGTAACAAAAAAAAAATAAAACGACGCGCGTGCCAAAGAATAGAACATAGCCAAAGAATAGAACATCGTTCATATTTATATTATTTCTATTTTTGGTTTATTTGTGGGTCGAGAGGGTTCTTCCAACGGGACAGTGAACCCCAGGGCCGCCGATAAAGCGAAAATCCCAAAGGGGGCCCGGAGGGCGGCTCAAGAACGGGATAAGCCCCGGAGAGCGGCCCAGATACAAAAGGGGCCTGCACGGCGGAACCGGAATCCGTATCTTAATCCATATGTAATCGACCAACTGCGGGTTGCGGGTTCAGCGCAGGGCGCCCAACGAGCAGGCAGTTGTCCCGGGAAATCCCCGCCGAGCAAAGAGGCTCTAATGCCTGTTACATTATAGATCGTAGGAAACAAGCATAAACTTATTCATTGTTGACCTTTGGCTTTTATTAATAACTAGCAGGTAGGCCCGGTGTTGCTCGATCAAAAGTAACGATAGCGAAGATTAAGATTATTACGTTATAGTCAACCTTACCTGTTTTCACAGAATGCAAGAATTGGGTCCCCCTGTTTCCGGACTAATTAGAGAATTTTTATATGGGTCTAAAAATATGTTCGATTTCCCGCAAAAACGAAAAAAAAACTGCATCTGCGTCTTGCACGCCGCTTTGCCGAGAATTTAATTTTTGAAAAACGTTTTTAAAAACAAGAAATTTTAATATTTTAAAATTATACGTAAATGCACCATCTTGTCCCACCCGTGGAGTAAGATAGGGATATTATTTTTATATACAAGAAGGACAAATTAAAATGATTAAACTCTCGTTTTCTTCAATATTGGCACGAGAACAACGTGCCCATTTATCACAGCGGCTACATTTATTATTATTTTCCGAATAAATAAATATAAAAGTTTGAACTTACTCGTATATACTTTACCAGACGACACTGTCACTTCGCGCATGCTCAGTTTCGCTATTTTGTAAACAGACGATATTTTTTTATAGAAAAAAAAATTTTATTTCGATTGTTATTTCACATTTTATTTCTTGTTAAGATAGTATTTAAATTTAAAAAATGTTTTCACAAATAAAATAAAAGTAAAATCCAACGTTGCCATTCCTAGTACATTTGTACTTTTCGGGTACATTTTGCCCTTTCCAATAAATTGAAAGTACACTTAGATTTTTAGTACATTTTGAGTACATTATAATATTTCAGTACCATTTATGGTACAAAATAATATTTCGCGCCTTAACAAAAAATGAGAAAAAATTAGTTTAATAAAGTCTCACTAGTGTCACTGCTTGCTAATTTAAATTATCCAATCACAACATACAAATGGTGTATGTCCGTTGACGTCAATAACGTAGATAGTTGCGCGTATAAATGTCTTGACTCACTTGTTAGTGGTCTTCTTTCACTCGTTCAATCGTCTGCGCATTCTCATCGGAACCTTGACAAAAATTTTCATGCCACGTGGTCCAAATAGTTCAACTCCGTCAAACAAAAATAATGGACAGGTAAGGAAATCAATGATTTCAAACTTTTGTCGTCAATAATACCAAAATTATTTGACAATAAACTGACAAATAATACTTGAATAGAATACAATGTATTCAAAAAAATATGAATATTTGTTGCCATAGCAAAATCATGCTAAAATTTTCTTTCTTACAATTAAACAGTCATGTTTACTTTAATTAAATAAAACAAAAAATAGCAATTTAATGTTGTTTTTGCTAATTTTATTAAAGAAAGTTTTGTCTTACTATTCTTTTCTTTTGTTTAATTTAATGAAGTGCCTATGTGGCAGATTGAAAGTGTGTATATATAGGCACGTAAACAAAGTATTCATAGAAATAGTACATTTTTTGAAAGAGCTTCAGTACGTTTTGAAATTTTATTGTGGCAACGCTGGTAGGATCATTTGGAGAAATTGTCATTTTGTCACTTTTATAATCAAATACGTATGCACAAAGGATTGCTGTGCCTATAACACGACATGCTTGGAAGCATGACGTTCACAAGCAAGATGGCCACCTTAACTGCTGCTGTTGGTTTCCCCGTTTGAAGACATCTAATTAAACACGCTGTAGGTTTAGCAGTACATGCATCATGTCTCCCTATATTGCCTGGAAGTAGTCTGTAGGTTGATTCTGGGGGCTATGTCTTGGAAAGGTCACATATAGAGGTATGGTTCCTTACAAAATCTCATTCAAGCTCTGAATGAGGGATTTTGTACCTCCAGAATTGTAGACCCCTACAGAGCAAAAATGTCAAAGGAACTATACCCATACATACAACCCTTCATGAGATATTTGCCTCCAAAAATCGGTTTTTAACATGTATCAGTATAATGCCTATTCTCCATGCTCTGATGCTCGCTATCACTCGCATCAAAACACCAGGGTAGGGGTGAGCCTTCACACCATCCTGAAACTAACATCAAGTGCTTCATGAACAGTCAACTGGGCTACTCGAAGCTGTCATAGTTGCAGGGGCTAAATACTTAAATGTGATAGTTTTAACTGAGCTATGTGACTCGCGATCTTGCATGACCTTTGCAAGATAAAGATCCTGCACAGGGTCGCTTGTAGAGGTATGGTTCCTTTTGACTTTTTTGCTCCTATAGGTATACTCTACAGCTGTGATATGGTCATAACCATCTCATCCAGAGCTTGAATTGTATATTTCGTTCTCCCTTGTTTTACTTTCTTAAGTGGGAAAAATGAAACAAAACTACTTTTCTCTTCGTTTAATAGTGTATGCATTTACTGTCCATAAACTTTTAATATACCTGCTACAGCTTTTGTGCTTGTAACATCTTGTAAAACAAAAATGAGCTTTTCCTCAAAAGAAGTATTTTTAAACTTAAACCCCAAAAAATTGAATCTGTGATACCATATTACATGACCATTGGTGAAAAAATATTTCTCTATATTGTTTATATTTTTGTCTATGGTTTATAAATAATTAAAACTCCAATTCTAAATTAATTACATTTTACTCCAGCAAGGCAGTGAGAGAGTTTTATTAATACAGTAAATATTTTAAGATGTAATTAACTGTAACTACCAAGTTATTAATCATCATTGTATTGTTAGTGTACTTCAGGAGTCAGATTATTCTCAGAGCCACATATTATATAGCTCTATAGCTGTGGGTTGCTAACACAGTACAATATAACAAATAGTTTGGCTTAGACTTCAGATGGCTTGATTGATGATGTACTCATTTGATATATAATGATTATGAATTTGAACCAATTATGAACTTCAAATTAATATTTTCCAAATAGTTTAAATAAATCAATATTCTGATTATTAAAAATTATTACAAAGTAATAATACTATTTATCCCAAAAACATCTTATTAATTTTTATAAAATTTTGGAGAAACAAAAGAATAAGACTGATATTTGAAGTACTTATTAATTTGTACTAAAAGCAAAAAATAATAGTTCAATATATTGGGTTGTTTGGTAAGTAATTTTGTTTTTTTTTACCACCAAAGGAATTACTTGTATTTTTTACCACCAATTTCATTTTAAACCATATTGTCATTATATATTTTGATAGCTGACATTTCAAGGCTTATTTGTAAAAAATTTTTTTTGATCTGTGCAATTTTTTTTTGGCAATTTTGATATTACAGATGCATCACATTCTGGAAGGACAGTTGAAGCTGATGAAGACAAAATAAAGGTATTGATTGAACAAACCACCAAATAACAACAAGAGAAATCACTGAGATTAAATTTGTCGAATTGAACTGTTTGTGATCACTTGAAACGACTTGGTTTCCTTTCAAAGCTTGATATATGGGTTTCACATGTTCTTAAAGAAAGAGATGATCTCTTTGGTGGGATTTTAAGGAAAATTTTTTTTGAGCTTCTACCAGACAATTTCACAATTGATTCAAAAGTGTAGTGCCATCAAATTGAGTGATATCATTAAACAGAAAAGGCCAGAATTGATCAACAGAAAAGGTGTAGTGTTTTGCCATGATAATGCCAGATCTCACATAAATTTGGTAACTCATCAGAAATTGCTCCGGTTTGGATGAGATGTGCTACACCACCCACCATATTCACCAGATCTGACACACTCGGATTATCCTTGTTACAGTCTTTACAAAATTTTTTAAACGGTAAAACATTTACTTCAAATAAGGATGTCAAAAATCACTTGAATCAGTTCTTTGTAAGCAAAGATCAAAAGTTTTATGAACGTGGAATCATGCTACTACCAGAAAGATGGCAACAGGTATCTGACCAAAATGGTCAATATATAATTCAATAAAGTATTTATATATTAGAAGAAAATTTGTTTTTTTTTTTCCACAATAAAAAAAAAAATTTACTTTCCAAACAACCCAATACAAATAATAAGCAGAATGTAAAATTAGTCACAACTTCCTCCTCTAACTTTTCTGTAACACATTATTTAAGTACTTCTAGTTGTGTTTTTTTAACTTTCTAAATTTCTTTGTGTGTGTTAAATAAATTGCAGTCCAATAAATTCAAATGTTTCAAATTTATTAGGCTGCAATTTGAAAAAATTGTAGACCTATAAATTACCACATAAAATTGCATTGTCAACTGTCATTCACTACTGTAGTTTTAGAAGTTTATACTTTTTATGTTGAACTGAAACCTGATTATGGCTAATCTTAACTAAAAACACTTGTTTTAGCATAAATTTCATACTAGATATTAAAGATTTTTTATTTCTTAAGAAATTACTTCTTAAGCATCAAATTGAATTGCAAATAAAACAATTGCACTTCAATTTAAAAAATTTTTTTAGATATGTAAAATATTTTAAAATTTCTACTGTAGTAATATAAATTATGTTCACTTCTGAAGATTTTTAATTGAAAAAGTGTAGGTAATTGAATGAAAAGATAAAGATTTAAAACTTAAAATAAAGGAAATGGTGTGTTAAAAATGACGTACAGTATTCAGATGGATTTATTCTTGAGTGAGGAGCAAGAAAACTGGATTTGTTATGCCTGAAGTGCATTGAATTATGAGAAAAGAACTATCTAAGGAGGCAACATTAATATACATAAACAAAAACATTCTATTAAAATATGGTTTACTTCAGTATATCTCCAAAACTGGTATAAATGCACAAAGCCAACAAAATTAAAAAATATGGGAACTACCTTGCTACTTTTGCAGGAAGAGTATGAATGTGTTATGTTTATTCAATGATTGCTGTGTTCTAATTAATATTCCTGTTTATATAATATGTTTGGAGCACAACTTCAGTTAAATTTATATATGATGCCTGTTTGTAATAAGATGCCTTTTTGTTTTTGACAGTAAGTGTTTTTATAGCGATAATATTCATCTTAATAGAGAACTATTAAGTATTGAATAAAACTTCTTTATATTTATCATGATTGAAAGTTTTTACAACAGATTTTTTTTAAAAATTCCTTTAGCTGTGTTTTTATTTTTCATCTTTGGATAATTACCTATTATTTATTGGTAAATAAGAATTCATTACAAATCCATAAAGATTATCTGCATCTATGGAAGAATATAATTGTCTGGTTGATTTTTTATAAGTTTTTGGAATTAAGGGATTTTGCAACTCTTTTCTCAGATAAACTTTTTTCTCCTCTAATTCTGCTTTTGATAAATAAATACATATTAATGTCAATAAACATTTCCAATTCAACTTTTTCATTTTTAACCCATAATTTCATGTTAAATCTGGAACAGTTACAAAATATACATGATATAAATTATATTACTTTAAACTTAATAATTCAAAACTTTAGAAAATTATCTGCTAAATGTATCAACATATTGATATAATTTTAAATAATCTTTAAAAATTTTACAATGAAATCTTTTCCAAAGTAATTTAGCCTGATTGCAATCATCATCTGTATTTTCTCCTGTTAATTCATTATAAAAACATTTCTTTGGTGGTAAATGTGATTCATATAGTATATCTGCATGTTTAAAATAAGAATATGGAAAACTTTTCAATAAATTTTTATTTTTGTTGTTGTAGAAAAATTATTGAAAATAGGAAAATTACAATTTAAATTTTTTAAATTTTCAGTTAAAATAGATAAAGAAGAATTTAAAAATTGGAAACTATCAATAAATTTAAAGTAATCTAATGTTGTAAATTTTTCTGAATGATATGAATTTTTGAAAATAATTTGTGGTGTATTTTTAAAAATCAAACAAGAATCAGAAGAATTGTGTATTATAATGGGAATTAATTTGAGTTGATAATTATTATGCACTCATTCTCTAAATTTTCCTGTGAAATGGTCATGATCCATTACTTTGATATCATCATCATGATAATCTTGTTCATTTTATTTTCCGTATTCATTTAAGAAAATTTCAATCTTTTTTCTGAATTAATTTTTTCTTCGTTATTACTCATTGATTTGTCATTAGGAAGCGATTGTTCTGAAAACCATTCGTGGTAACTATCCAATGAAATATATGATGAGGCCCACCAGTGGCCAGGCTGTCTTCGTACCCTGAACACTGGGAGTTTTTGTAGGTTCATGTCTCGCTTGGACGGGCTGACCACGTGGAGTTTTCCGGGTTTTCTTCATGTCTGTAACGCCTAAATAGGGGACAGTTTCCGTTAAAAAGACCTCCTGGAAGGCATTCCCCCCTAGGCAGATCGCCCAAGTGTTGCGTTGCCATAACTTAACAAATATATGATGAACTAGTTGAACAAAATATATTGCGAATTTTCCTCTTGAAATATTTCACATGAATCATTGTGTTCAGTACTCGTTTCTTTGGTTTTCATTTCGTGGTCGAAGGATTCACTTTTACTTCCTTCAATTAGTTTTAAATTTTCATATTGGCTGTCTTCGTTTGTCTAAAATGGTGTTAATTCATGTATTTAAAAAATTCAGCAACAAGTTGCTTAACTTTCCCTGCAACATTTTAAAATTTTGGTGGCACCATCTATTATCGTATTTCATTTTAAAAACTTTTTAATTTTTAACTATTACGAAATGACAAAGCTTAAGTTAATTGAGGGTAGGGGTGGGTTTTTTAAAAAATTGTAAATGCTACTAACAAGTAAAATCATCATTAAGTCCGACCCTACTGGAGATACACTACCCCTTTATCTTCCCACCCCCTGGACCTCTAATCACCAAAATTTAACATCATCAATCCCCCTAATACAGAAACCTCCCTGCCTATTTTCAGAAATTTTCCACAAAAATATCACAGGAGTTAAGCTTCAAAAGTGAACAAAATAGTGTCCTCCCACAATCATCCATACATACAGAAATTACTCCCAAATTTTTTTCACTTCTTGACGTTTCAAGGTCCCCTAAGCCCAAAAATGTAAAAATCTTGGGGGTGGTGTATTTTTTAACTTATCACTATTATGAATGACTCACTTTTATTTAAACTTTATTGGAACAAATGAATTTACTTTATAAATAAGCATTTTTCATTTATGGCACTTTATTGTCTCTAAGCATCAAGAAGGCAATTTTTTTCTACAGCCATCATGCATGAATTTGGTCAGGCCCATAATGGGGTCAAGCTGACTTACTAACGCCTCATTCATCCCACTATGTATGCTCATATGTTAAGAATTAGATTTACAAGCTGCGTTATTTGTCGAAAATTAATATTTTGACACAATATGAACTGAGTAACTTCATTTTAACAGAATTACTTTTATGACGAGTGTTTTAAAAATCTTCCGATTTCTGCTACTATATTATTTGAAAAACTATGTTCTTTTTTTTGTAAGTCATTTCACAACTGAACAGTTGAAGTTCCTCTTTTAATGTATTGTATAAAATCGTATTGTTCGCTAAGAATTAAAAATAATTTCAGTAAAAGTCCAAAGATTGTTACGAGATGAACGATAAATACATCTTCAATAGAATAAATTGCTGAAAATTAGCTAGAACTTATTTATACTGCTCCATTTACTCGTCGTTATTCGTGTTGCTTGTGCTGTGCATTGCTTTTGAAACCGTTGACGAATAAGAATGAGCGGGTCAGCTGTTGAAGATGTGGTGAACGCCGCCCTTCACATCTGCACCCTTAACGGTTGTAAAATACAAGCAATTACCCCCGGGTGTGAGTAATCACTTCCTGGAATAAATTCGAACTCACCCCACAAGACCGTCGAAAACCAGTTGTCTTTGTTAGCCGCGTCGTCGAGACATGTGCTGTACCAAGTACGCGAAGAGAATAAAAGTTTATTTTTTGTTACGATCTCGTCTCGTTCGTTTCTTCCACTCGCAGCGACGAAAGATAAAAGCAACCATAACGCCAAAAACCACAAGGGGAAGAAACCCGACATATTCTATTGCCCATTTAAAATTTTTAAAATGACTATAATTTTATAAATACTCAATATTTTTAAATTAAACCTTCAAAAGGATCATAAAAGTGGTGGTAAGCTTTCGAAAGAGCTATTAAGCATATGCTTATAGATTTTCTGGTAGCTCGGTGTGTGTAAAATCTTTCTTGTTGTAAATCTAGGGGAAAAAGTGCTGAATTTGGGATTGTGTAAGTCCAAAACGATCCAAGGAATTCATTCAAAATTTATGGCTTTCGTAGGCCTCATCGCGAACACTAAATATTTTAAATTTCATCCAAATCTGTTCGTTGGTCTAGGTCCTCTAGGAGATAATTAAAAGTCAAACTTGGCACTTTAACATTACACGTGTGGCTGAGCTCTATGATGATAAGATATTTTATGATATTCATTTCTAACATTCAAATTTTTATTATAATTAGAACGATTATTTTTGAAAATATTAAAACTATTGTATTAGAAATTTTTATTTTTTTATTACTTACAGTCAAGATTAAATTAAATATTTTTAAAATTAAAGCTGTTTTTTTCTTTGCAGAATGAATAATCTCAAAGGATTAAAGAAATAGCAGACCTCGGTAGATGCTACTACGCCAGAGGAAAGCGCTCATCGTCATCCTCTTCCACTTCACTTTGAGTAATACGCGTGCTTCCGAAAGATGCAATGGAGAGCGAAAGGAGAAATCGCATACACCCGACAACAAACGGGTAATTGTGATATCTCCCAACGAAAGCACCTCGTCTCTCATCGACTTCCTTGAATAGTGGGTAGAAAGATGGTCACGTGAGATAGCATTCCACGGTAAGGAGTCTAAAGTGATCCTGAAAAACATCAGTGAAGCGTCAAATACCTTGTGGGAAAGGGTTTTATTCTTGAAGTAATAGAAGCTTTCTTACTTTCTACCTGACAAGACTCTGTCATCTGGAAATTACCTTTATTTTTTTTTTTTTTTTACAACTCGACGAACCGGATGTCACTTTCCATTCTCGGTTTTCTCTCTTTCCAATTTACGACACTCGGACAGATATTTCGCCCCCATTCAAGGACGCATTATTCCAATTCAGTTAAAGTCTGTAGAACGACAGTGTGAAGTCAATCGTCGCCAAAGTAACAACAAAAACCTTTGGCAGTGTTTCTCGTAGGGATGAGGAGTCGGTGGAAAAATACACGACTCCGACTCCATCCCTGGTTTTTCGAGTTCACATACTTTGTTATGCTATTGTTCCGAATCGTTTTAAATGATTATAAATGGCCGAGGTAACTTCTATTACGCAGACATTTACAACCGGTGTTCTGCCGCTTAAAAATCTCACCACAAAAGAGCGGATGTTGGCCACCAGATTACACTACTAGAAGGAAGCCATTCCAACGTTCAATTTAAAACACATTGCAGTCAGTATAAGCCAGAATGATAATTATTTCAACAATGTAATTTGTATATCGAATCGTCTTGACTGTATATAAATTTTTATATTTTATTAAAATTTCATATTAACTGTTTGAAGATTTGATATTTATCAAAATACATGTTAAAATCTCACATTTTATTATCTATACTAATATTATAAAAATAAAATAATATTATGTATGTATGTTTCTTTGCAGCAGGTAATCTCAGAAACTACTCATCCGATTTCAAAAATTCTTTCACCAATATTTAGAATGGAACCTCAGGGTGGACATAGGCTGTATATTATTCCGTTAAACATTCATATAAATTAAATGATATCATCTATGGTTAAGGCTTTTTTGTCCAACAGATGGCGCTACGAGTACGACGCCCTAAGTTTGCTTTTCTGTGAGGCATTATGCTTTTCTGTGAAAATGAACTAAAGCAGATCATCTTCTATCTATCTATATAAATAAAAATGTAATGTTCGTTTGTTCCTACCGATTCCTTTGAAATTTTCACACAACGCTGCATTCGAATACGCACGTGTTTTTATATACTGTAATATACGTGTCGAAATTCCCCCACTGAAGGGAGATGGTTAGGATTAAAGCTTACAGTAAAGAACTCTGCTTCTATTTATACTACTTTAGATGCGGGTATTTGCGTTTTAATAGGGCACGTGAACAGAATGTACACTAACAACAAATTTTTCGATATTCCCTCGCGGGGGAGAGGGACAGAATTAAGGCTTACCGTGAAGAACTTGGCTTCTATTATTTTATTTTAGATGCGGGTTTTTGCGTTTTTGATTGCGTTTTAATAGGGTACGTCAACAGAATGTACACTAAGAAGAAATTTTTCGAAAAATTCCCCCCCCCACGAGGGAAGTGTTATACATTTATGATAGATACATTTTGAGCCACAACAACGCGTGGCGGGGTCTGCTAGTTAATTATAAAATAGTCTAAATGTCTTAATACTTATGATGGAATAGAAAATATAGATCGGATGTATACTTCATGAAAAATAATCTTGTTATAAACGGGTGTGTCGACATTTTTACTTTTCTGTCAGTTATACATATATACAGTCGACCCCCTATAACACTTGATAATTCCGCTTTATATGAATTTCATATTGCACGAGTCACTTAGATTTTACAAATACGTGTGCCGGGCAATGAACGGCTCACGTATTTGTAAAAAATCTCGAATTAATATACTGGTCAAGTTTGTTATACCACGTTTTATTCATAAATAATTTAAGCATTCTTCAGATGAAGTTACTCCGAAACTGTTATGTATAGGTTCAATGTGCTTGTATACGTATCAGTTGCGTAGCGTGGGTATCAGCCGCCCGGGGCGGGGGAAAATTTCGCCCCCNAAAAACATCGATTAACAAAAACCATGTAAAAAAATTTTGCATCACCATCAAATACTGGATATGAAATTACACGAAATATATCATGTAAATTGTTTATTAAATTTTTATCTGATTACAAGCCACAAAATTAACTTTTATTTTAACATTGTACAATATGTATGTAATTTTTCGGCTCTAGTTTTACAATAATTCTTTGTAAAGAAAGTCACAGATATCATCAAACATTACTTAAATATAAAATGTTAAAAACAGACATACTAATTTTAGGTGAAAATAATTTCTACTAGTTTGAATTATAGCAGAAATTATATTCACCTATTTCTATGACAAACAAACTTCAAGAATGCTTGAAGTTATAATCATTTTGTATTGTGTTTATCTGTTATTATTATTATTTATTATTATTTGATCTTTTACCTTTACAATCACAATGCCATAATCTCCATGTAAGATGATCATCTGGTTTTCATTCTTTTAATTTTTTTTTCCTACTTACAGATTTCACATGGACTGGGCATTATTTAACTGGCGAGTGGAAGGCACTGGGTGAATATATTTTTGTTTTTACAATGCCTGACATGTACACTTCATTTAAATAATACAAATTTACTATTATTTTCATTTTTTAGGATCATTATTATACATGTTATTACATTAGAAATTTAAAGATGATTTGCTTTATTTTTAAAACTTTTCTATTAGAAATAATCCATCTCAGAGACGACTACATATATGCACTTATTGAAAATAAAACTTTTTAGAAGGGTCAATTAATTTTAATAGTATAAAAATAAAATTACAAATTAATAAGATTTTTAAAAAATGATATAAAAGATTAATAAACTTAATTTTTCTATATGAAATATTGAAAATAATAATATTTATATACTGTATGTATATATTTATATATATATATTTATTTATTTATATTTACAAAATCTATATAAATTATAAATATTTTAAAGAAATAAACATTTTGAATATACATTTTGAGAGCAAGACATTCACTAATTGGGTGATGCAATACTTTTTCACACAGTTAAATTAATATTCAGAGTTTTTGAATATTGAATGCTACCAATATGAGAAAAATGTATTAACCGTTTAAATTAAAACAATAAAAACAAATTGGGGAAAAAATTAGTAAAAATGAAATAAACAAGAAAATTTTATATTAAGATAATAAAAACAAATAATGAATTTTATATTCTACAAATTTTTATGAATCTCAAATTATATAATTTAAAAAACAGATAACTTTCATGCTGTGAATTATTAAATAATGAAAATAAATTCAAATCTCAAAATATCTACTCTAACTGGGTTATACAATTTTTTAACATTAAAATAATCAAAATTTGTACATCCCATTGTGAAATAAATTATGGACAGAAATTTTAAATGAAAATAGGGAAAATAAAAGTACAGACCATCAGGTAAACAGATTACAATGTTAACCTTTATTCTTGAAAGCCAAGTAGTTTTACATGGCCAAATTCTGGGACTGTATATGGAAAATCCATATACCAAATCTGTAGAGTACAAAACAAGGGTGAATTATGATTGACTGGCATACAGCAGACACTGAGATGGATTTTTATGATGCATGTAAAGAATATTTTTCTGGGCTGGAGGTTTCTCCTGTTATTGGGCAGAGAAGATTTGTACAATGCAAACAACAGTATATCAGGAGGGCTTCTTTTACATACAAAAGGGATTAAATGAGAATGTTGCATGACAGGCTATGTATATATTCTGCTGAAAACAAATGCTGCCCTACTATTCAATGGACTATACATACAATCATCACACCACTCTTAAAGACCCTGGAGAACACTTTTCTTATATGTTGTATTATCATAAATGAGGCATCAATAAATAAATTACATCAACATTTTTTTCATACCCACACCTTCTACTTGATGGTTATTCAAAATGTAGGCTTTAAAATTCAAGTGACATAAAAGTCTCAGAAATAAAAGCTTACATAAGTCATTACATTTTATGACAGTACTTGTCTTGGCTTCAAGGCTGATACAGTCCATAAGTTACGTGCCAGGAATCGGCATGCGTGTTGGAACCTGGCATCAACACTCAGTTTGATGCCATCCTTGTCCATGGAGGGAAGAGTTGGTCACTCACTATTCAAGCACCACAGATGCATTTTCACGTAACTTCCATGTAATCAGGATCACTATCTGTGTCATCACCAGAGTTATCAGAGTCAATAATTCTCTTTCGTTTCTTCCGAAATTTTTCTTTCTTCTTCTTTTCTTTTGTGACACTACTCCGACTTATTTTGGACCTCGAATGGCGACTACTGCCAGGTGATCGATTTCTTGATGATCCTTTATCAGGAGTTCGAAAAGAAACTGTATTAACAACTGAGTTATCTTCCTCATCGTCTGCATGTAAAACTGACACTAATAACTTTGATGCATTAGCAGATGATCTGCGATTAGTTTGTTCATCGTCATCATCATCTGCTGGATCAATTGTTAACATCAATTGTTTGAAATTTAGATACTGTTGTATTAGTTTCCTTTTACCTGCTTCATCCAACATACCTGTATGATCTTCACCTTTCACAAAATTAATCACAGATATGGGTTTAAATTTCACTCCTACTTTACGATTCATAGCTTTTTCATATACTTTAACAGATTCATTTGGTGAATACTGTTGTATTTTATTGTCAGTAAATCCATACATTTCTTTTAAAGTTTGTTTTATAAATAACAATAAAAGACAAGCTTGTGAAGCACTCATGCATTCTTGTAAAACAGATGTATTTCCTGGAAGACGTTGATACAAAGAATCAAAATCATCGTCATCATCATCTTCCTCTGCAGGATTATTTCCAGAATTTATATTTACAGGAATTAAAGCTTCTCTGAAAGATTGAAGGAGATTTGAACCCGATACCGATAACATAACATCGATCTGATGTATGATAAATAGAGGTTCATCCTGTACTTGGAAAGGAAAATAAACAATATTATCTCCAATGTACAATAATTCTGATAATGGAGTCCTTGCTTGTTCATCAAATAATTTTAAAAGTGAAAGCACAAAAGCTCTTCGATTTTGTCGAGTTCCTCTTATAACGGAATATAAAAATCCATTTCTGCTTACAGTATTGTCGACACTACGAAAGCCTCGAATAAGCTCAACACTATCACTATGAATTAGTTGTTGCATTTTGTATGACATTCGAACACCTGATAGAGCCTTCATTTGAACAAATCCTGGATATTTCTTTTCAATTTCTTGCAAAAGCTGATCTGCCTTTGTTCTCAAAATTTGATCATCATCAGATCCCATGCAGATCAGATAGGGAACTATTTGCACTGGATGGACCAATCCTTGGCCTAAAATAAGATGTATAACTTGTAATGCAATTCTTCTTACATTCACTGATGTATGCAACACTGATTCTAATATCTGTTTTAAGTAGACTTGAATAACAGTGCTAGCCATTCCAGATGAAACATCCCCCATTTCTTTTAAATCTTCAGATTTTGAAACTTTACTCCATTCAGCATCTTTCTGTATCATTCTAGCTTCTTCTTCTAATAAATAAACTGAAAGATTCTTTAAAACTTGACATTTTAGTCCAGCTGATACTTCTGAATCACACAACAGATAGTAATAAAGTTCTTTTACTTCTTTTCCGAGCATAAATTCATAGTGCCTTATCATCATGAATCCAAGTCCTGTAAGA